GGGTCAAGAGACCCAGAATAACCAAAACAATCTTGAAAAAGAAGAACAAAGTTAGAGGACTTATACTTCCTGATTTCAAACTTACTACAAAGCTACAGTAATCAAGACAGTGTGGTGATAGCATAACAGACACAAGACTGACAGAATAGAATTGAGAGTCCAGAGTTAAACCCTTACATTTACAGTTGATTGATTTGACAAGGGCGCTAGACCATCTGCTAGGGGAACAGAGTAGTCTTCATCAATGGTGATTGGAACACTGGCTATCCATATTCACAAGAATGAATTGGAACCTCTCCTTCACATTGTATATAAAAGTTAACTCCAAATAGATCAAAAACCTAAATGTAAGAGCTAAAACTATAAAACTCTTAGAAGACAATATAGAAATAATTCTTCATGACTTTGAATTAGGTTTGAATTTTCTTAGCTATAATAACCAAAAAAAAAAAGCACAAGTAATCAAAGAAAAAGTGGACTTCTAAATTAAAAGTTTTTGTGCTTCAAAGAACACCATAAATAAAGTGAAATGATATTCCACAATATGGGAGAAAAGTTTTACAAATCATGTATTTGATAAGGGATTTAATATCTACAAGGTATAAAGGACTCCTACAACTCAGTAATAATAAATATAAATTACCCAATTTAAGAAAGGGCAGAAGATTTGAATAGAAATTTCTCCAAAGATGTACAAATGGCAAATAGGCACATAAATAGATGTTCGACATCATTAGTCCATAGGGAAATGCAAACCAAATTCACAGTAAGATACCTCTTCACACCCATGATGATAGCTATAATAAATCCGAAAATAACAAGTATTGGCAAGAGTGGTGAGAAATTATAACCCTCATACATAGCTGATGGGAATGTAAAATCATGCAACTACTGAGAAAACAGTTCCTCAAAAAGTTAAACATAGAGGCACCATATAACCCAGCAAATCTATTTCTAGGTATAAACCCAAATAAATTGAAAATGTATACCCACACTAAAACTTGAATGTGAATGTTCATAACAGCAGTATTATAGCCAAAAAGTGTTAGCAAGTAAATGTTAACAACTAATGTTGTTAATAAAATGTTAACAACTAAATGTTAACAAAAGTGTTAACAGCTAATGAATGGATAAACAAAATATGATATATACATGCAATGAAATATGATTATGTTATAAAAAGCAATAAAATATTGAAACATGCTACAACATGGATGAACCTTGAAAACATTATGCTGACTAGAAGAAACTAGATACAAAAGAGCATATTGTATGATTCCAGTTATATGGAATGTCCAGAATAGGTAAATCCAGAGACAGAAAAAGTACATTGGTGGTTGCCAGAGACTGGGGCGGGGGGTGGGAAGGAATGGGAAATGTCTACTGATGGACACAGCGTTCCTTTATGGAGTGAGGAAAATGTTCTGGAATCAGATAGGAGTGATGATTGTACAACTTTGTGACTACACTGAAAACCACTGAATTTTATGCTTTAGAACAGTATGTTTTGTGCTATGTGAATTATATCTCAATAAAAAATTCTAAAGAGCAAGTCTGGCGATGTTGTTAATAAGTAGAAGCAGGTGGACAGAAATTCTATTTGGATGCCAGGTGGCATGTCTTGGCAAGGTCAGGAGTGTTCAGTGCAAGTCCCCGTCCTCAGCCAGAGTGGCTCCACTTCAGCTCCCACCGAAGCTTTTTGTTTCAATAAGGGTTCCCCCGCTACAGAGGACTGAAAGCCCAACTGCGAAGCTGATCAACTGCAAAGAAGTTCCTCCTTGACTTCTAAGCTCCAGACTTGTGGAAAGTCAGTATAAGGAGAGGCAGGGAAATCAAAACACCAACAGAGACCAATGGCCCAGACAGGATTTGGAGTGTCACGGGCAGTGTGGGGTGGCTGGCTGGAGCCCTGCCTTCTGGCACAGTGTCCACTAGCCAGGCTCCTTTTGGCTCCATCTAGGGAGCATTGACATATTCGAAAAGTTCAGTTCCATTCATAAACCTTCACTGAGCACGTTCTGGCTCTCACCCCCAGATGAGTGAGCCAAGTCCCTGTCCCCAGGTGGCTCAGGCACAGGATTTGTGTAAACATACTCAGTCCCTGACAGCTCTGTTCCCTTCTCTTGTACTTGAGCTCACTGTCTCTCAAAGGACAGCAAGAGTGGAGCAAGCCACTTTTAGCTGTGGGAAAGGAGGGGAGGGAAGAGAATTAGTAACTATTGGGCACTTACTCTGTGCCAAAGACAAAGGAATATGCACATATATGATTTAACTTCCTCCTCCTCCATCCTTGAGCAGCAGGTAGAGGGACTTGTCCCAGGTACTTAGAGCTAGTATGTTTTGGAACTGTGATTTGAACTCAGGACCATCTGATTTGAAAAATCTGTGCTCTGGAAAAGCTGAAAGTTCACCTAGGCTGGATCATTTCACCTCCACTGGGCTATTTCTAGTTCCTACTGTTTATATAACTTGCTCATTCATTCCATTAGTTTCCCTGATTAGGCATTTGTTGCCAGGTAATATGGTAGGCAACACAGACACAAGCCTGAGTACCTGAACAAGGCATAAGCCTTGCCCTCAAGGATTTATAATGTGATGAGAGCCAGGCCTGGCCTGAGATGTGAGACCAGGAGCTGAGTTAACTACACCATGGAGGGAGGTCCTGTGGCAGTTCGGCCAGATGACAAGTGGTTTTAATATAACACTAAGAACTCAAGGTTTGGTACAATGAGGACAATGTGGTGCCAACTCTCTACCCGGCCCTCACCCTGTCCTGTAGATGTGTGGGGTATGGGCATTGAGCAGCCACCATCAGACAGAGCTGAGGGGGAAGTGGTATTCTGGGGCACGGCTTCTGCTCAGCCACAGCAGGAAATGGAGGGAGGGCTTGCTAAACAGGCTGAGGTTTGGGGGAGCTTATTGACTATAGCACTTTGGTTTGGGAGGGAGGGCTCAGTCAGAAGGGTCTTCAGGAAAGCCATAGGGAGAACCTGAGTAGGAGTGAGTTTTGGAATGGCAACATCAGAGCAATCAAGAATGACAGGGCGAGAGACAGAGAGACTGAGGCATTGCCATCCAACTGAAACTGTAGAGTAACTACATTTTATACCCAAGTTTCCGAGGCTATTTTCAATACAGGAAACAAGCTATGCATGGTCTCTGCTTTTGGTACCAGACATATATGGAGAAACTTTGTGAGGAAGTGAGAGTGGGAAAGGCAGTCTCAAAGCAGATTAGAAGCCACCAGCACTGTTTCAATTGTGGGAAGAATTCAGCCTGGAGTAGAGAAGGGAGGTGGCTCCTAGTTGTAACACAGAACTTGTCCTCTAGTTGGTTTTTCTTATCCTCTTAGCTCTGAGCCGGTTTGCTCATTTAGTGAATACTTCCTCCCCTTTAAACTTTCTGTTTGCTATTATTGTTTTTAATTAATATCTGGTTTAACAGAGAAGTGGCATGATGCTACGGAAAGAACTTGGAGTTTGGTATCAGTAGACTAGAATCTAATCACTTGATTAAAAGTCCCATACCATAACCAGGAGGGGATGGGATTAGCAGGACTAGAATGTAGGATATAGAACTGAAATGTTTCCATGCTTCACTGCCATATCATATAATGTAGAGCCTGACTTCCTTAACTTCCCTGAGCTTCAGTTTCCTCATCTGAACAAATACCTTCCTCAATAATATCTACCTTACAAGTGGCTATAAAGATTTGATGACATGTGAAGCCTGTAATACAGTGGCTGGCCATGGTGTACCCCTGACATTATTAATCATTACATAAAAAATTATTTGGCTCTAATGGCTGCTCAAATAAATATCTCACTACACATGTTAGGGGCTGAATTGTGTCCCCCTCAAAATTCATCTGTTGAGTCTTGGCTGGTGTGGCTCAGTGGATTGAGTGATGGCCTGCGAACCAAAGGGTTGCTAGTTTGATTCCTAGTCAGGGCACAGGCCTGGGTTGCAGGCCAGGTCCCCAGCAGGGGGTGTGCAAGAGACAAGCACACATTGATGTTTCTCTCCATCTTTCTCCCTCCCTTCTCCTCTCTAAAAGTAAATAAATAAAATCTTTTTTAAAAGTTCGTGTGTGGAAATTCTAACCCTCAGTGCAGAATGTGACTGTATTTGGAGATAAAGTGCTTAAAGAAATAATTAAGTTAAAACAAAAGTCCATCAGGTGGGCCCTAATCCATTATGGCCTGTGTCCTTAAACAAGTCACAAGAAGAAGAAATTTGGACGCAGACATGTACAGAGGCAAGAGATATCAGAAGAAACCAATCCTTGATCTTGAATGTCTAGACTCCAGAACATGAGAAAATGAATTTCTGTTGTTTAAGTCCTTCTTTTTAACTGGTGGACAGAGCGCCCCCCCCATTCTGCTGATTAGAAACAGCTTCTTGGCCTGTGTTCTCCAACTCCAGTCCCAGGTGAAGCCCGGAAGATGCTAGGCCTGCTGGGCTGACCATGGCTCCAAGGACACTGCTTCCTTAGCTCTTGGCTGCTAGGATGAAGTCGTCAGAGGAAGCAAGATCGCTCTCTTTTGAGTTGGCTGGTGACTTTCTGACCAGAGGCCCTTGTCATAGGACCAGTGAGAGAATGCATCATTCATCACGGTCCATTCCGTGGTGCTTTCTGACTGCACTGGGAGGGAAGGGCAACTGGGTATATGGTGTTGGATGAGGAAATGGCGGGAAAGCTCAGCCCCGTGGTGATTCGTGTTCTCTGTCCCGGGACAGTGGAGGAAGGGGAGACTGACAGAGAAAGAAGTAGTTTGAAGAGGGCGGAAGGAGAGGTGCCTGATGTGAATCTCGGGACACTTTCCACTGACAGAAGTGGAGGCTGTGTCTGTGGATCAGCGGGGTCTGGAATCCCGATCTTTCGCGGGGCACCGTGTGGCGGGACACTCTGGGAGGACCGCACGTATCCCCCGCAAAGTCGTGTGCCCGGGATGGCCGCCCTGGGCAGACAGGGCAGTGCGGGCGGGCGCGCGCGTACACGACACGTCCTCGGGGCACTGCCCCCTCCGGCGCGCGCCCGCCCAGCCCCGTCTGCGTTCCCAGCCCCTTGCAGGGCTCGATGCGCCCGGTTTCCAGGGCAGCGCACGCCCCCTCCGCGACCCGGGACCCCGGGCCGCGCGCACCCCGCGCCCCGTCCCCGCCCGCCGGGCGCGCGCGCTGGCTCCCGCTCCCGTTCCAGCTGGCAGCGGCGGCGGCGACGGGGATTGTTTTTGTTGTCGCTGAGGCCGGAAGAGCCGCGGGAGTCGGGTCCCTGTCCCCGGGCTAGGCGCCGCCGCCGCCCCCTGCCCAGCGCCCGCGTCTCCGCGGCGCTCCCCTCCAGCGCCAATATTCCGGAGATCAAGCGTTACGCAGCGGCGGCGGCGGCGGGGCCCGGAGCGGGAGGCGCCGGGGACCGGGGCGAGGCGGCCCCCGCCGCCGCCATGGAGGCGCTGGGACCAGGTGAGGAGAGAGCACGGGCCGGAATGGGGCCCCGGTACGGGTTGGTGGGCGGGCGGGACTGTCGCTCTCGGTCGCCCCCAACGGCTCGTGCATACCCGGGTTCGGGCCGTCAGGCCCCGGGGAATGGGACGGTGCCCCATTGCACAAGGCGAAGAGAGCTGACCCGGGCCTCGGGGGCGGGGACCGCGCCCCAGCTTGGAGAGATGTGTGGGGTCTGGAGGTCTGAAGAAGGGTAGCTCAGGAAGGTGACTCGCGCCTCCAGGTAGTAGAGGGGAGACCTGACCCAACCTCAGGGAGGTGGTTGCGACGAGGCCAGTTCCGGCCTCCGAAGGGATGGTCTGTGGCTGGTGCGCTGCGGAGGCCTGGCCTGGACTGGACTGAACTGGGAAGGTCCCCCACCTACTACCAGGGGTATTCTTGGTTTTGGGCTGCAGCCCTATTTTTCTTCGCACTGGCAGACGTCCAGAGCCCTCAGATAAGGAATGCCCCTTGCCCCCAAGGCCAAGGGGTAAAGTACTCACCCTTTCTTGAAGGCCCATATGATCCTATGGCTCTGTCTATCTGTCTGTCCCTGTGACAGTCCCAAAGTTGTCTGGACTAACACCCTAGTGACAAGCGAGTTGGCAGGCAGCCCGCTCCAGCACAGGCTTTAATGCCCTGAGTTCCTTCTAACTGGGTTATGAGTAAGTTGCGAGGATCAGATGAAGAAAGTGCTTTGGAAACTGTAATTTGCTGTCATTATGAGTGGGCTCTGGTTATCTTCCTCAGAGGCACTGTTCCAGGTTGTAACAACTGCCCCGCAGACTGGAGTCTGGTGCTCCCACCTTCAACCCCAACAGGTTTCTAATGCTTTGGCTAAGTAGGGAGGGGTTTAGGGTCTGGAATAGAATTAACTTTACTATCAAACCTTACCTATATAGTGGACTTAGTTGTAGAGCATTTCAGTTTTTTTAGTGCATAGAAAATTCACTTTACCTTTTGAGTTTGGAAACTTTCCAGGTTTGTTTACTTAGAAGTTGTTTACAGCACTGAATGACTTAATCTCACCTTAATTTCCTGTTCAAACTATTTTTTTCAAAAGGACCTCATAATAAAATTTCATATGCCTTTTAAAAGTAAATTGCTTTTGTCACAGTAATATTATTTGATAAACCTCAGTGTGAGTATTATGCTGGGTTACTTCAACTATAGCCCCCGGCTAAAGGCGTGATCAAGTCTTTAGGAATGTAACAGACTTCTGTTCAAATCCAATCTAGTAATTTAATAGTTGTATAACCTTGGGCAAATTATTTAATTCCTTTGAACTTTCATTTCCTCATCTATAAAATGAAGTAATAATAATTACTGCTGTGCGATTGTTGTGAGAATGAAATGAGATAATGTATGTGAGAAGTCTTGTTGAGACCAGTGCATTATAGATACTAACAAAGGTTCCTTCCCTCCCTCCCCTATTAGTAACTGGTTATTGAAGCAACTGTTGCATTTTGCGAACTGGTACTGAAAAGAGACTGTGTAACTGTGTGTACAAACTGATTTTCATGGCAAAGATCAACCTGGTGGTGTTAGGAATGTCCCAGGGATTTTTTTTGTTGTTATTTGATTTTAGCTTTTGCAGATTTGAGAACTTACTAGTTCACCTAGGATTGTGAAAATTAATTCTCACTAACCACATTTATAAAATGCTAATGAATAAGCCAAAATGTCACATAGATCTTTTCTGTTGACTGGAACATTTTCTTGTCTGCTCTCTGGCCAGCTCCTCTTTTGGTGTCATAGTACCTTGGAAACCCAGTTAATAACAAGAAGCTGCATGCCAAGCAAAGAACCAGAGCAAAGGGAGTTGGAAGTCTTGTGGGATGTTTTGTCCAGGTTGTTTTAGAGCCTAGAGGAGCTTTCCTGCCTCTTTGTTTAAAGCACACAGATCTGGAGCTTCGTGCCCTCCTCACTTGAATGGTTATTGACATATTCTTAGTCTTCCTCTGCTCTCCCTCACCCCATTTCTGTTTTGGACAACAATAACTTGGAAATATATTCAATACCATTTCTTTTGGTCATAGTAGTGATAACTTCTATTTTTACAGTGCCTCACAGTTTGGAAAGTGCCTTCATAGTTATTAGCTCATTTGATTCTCAGTGAAGTAAGCAAAACAGACATTATCCCCATTTTACAGATGAGAGAAGAAATGTAGAGAGCTTCACTGACTTGATCAGGTCTCAAGGCTGAGTGATGAAATGAGGGTGAGTCTGGGTCATCTGTCCTGGTCTAGTGCCCTCCTTTTCTTTTAAGGTTAACTTCATCCAATCTATGTTATCATATTTGTTTCCTTTTTGGAAGAAGTAATCTTCTGACTTTGTCACCAAATTTTTGTGACCCCCCCAATATAAAGCCCAGGGACCTTCAAGCACTGTAATATTTATGCAAGTATAATCTACTAGCTAACATTTACTGAGCCTTTACTATTATTACATGGCACTGTATTAAGCCATTTATATACATTATCTCATGGGATCCTCACAATAGCCTTAAGAGTTAGATGCTATTATTACCACATATTCCCCTTTATAGATAAGAAAACTGAGGCACAGAGAGGCTAAGAAACTTGACCGAGGTCATGCAGTTAGGGAGTGGTAGACCAGGATCTATACCCAGGCAGTTTGGTGCCAGAACTTTAGCCACTGGGCCTTTTCTTCGTAAGTAGTTTGCTAAACTCAAAGAAAAACAAGCTTTTGGAATGGAAAATTTTAGAGTATAGTTTTCTAAATAAATCTTCTACACTTATTAAAAGAAATGATTGTTCACCTTCTGACTTTTCTTTCTTGCTAATGAAAAAAAAAACACTATTTTCTTTTCTCCACTTCTTAACCCCTTTTGCTCATGTCCTCTGTTTCTGTCTCTTTGGTACCAAGCAGTTTAGCAAGGTAGAGATTCCACAGGATTGTGGAGTATACTGGGGAGGAAGGGCGCTGGACTGGCAGTTAGGAGACCTGGGTTCTAGTCACAGTTTAAAATCGAAGTCTTCAAGCTGAGCAGGAAATAGGAACAAATAAAATAAAATTAAGTTAAAGTCATATATCCTTGAGTAAGTTATTTGACCCATATTTCTGATTCAAAATTTCTAGTTGGATGAAATCCAGCTTGATGATACAATGATTGCTTAAGTGTTTGTTGGGATATGCAGGGCTGACTTATCTGTATGATTTGATTCAATGTGCCAATCACCTCTGATATTATTTAGTATTTACCTCTTACCTTGTTTATGAATGTCTTATCACACCCAGAGCAGATCCCCTTTTATACCAGAAGTGGAACTCATCTCCAAGCAATAGTATTTTAGTATAAATTATGTGCTTTTGCTTTAATGAAAACTAATGCTCAATTCTTGGGTTTGAGGAGTGATTGGGTTTCTGTTTAGTTTCTATTTGGAACTGCTACAAGGATTATTGGTAGTGGTCAGTTGAACATTTATTGAATTTCTACAATGTACTGGTCATTGAATTAGGTCTTGAAGAGGTAACGATGAACTGGAGGTCCATTTCCTCTAAGTTTACAGTCTAGTGGAAGAAACAGATTAATTTAGCAGGTCGTTTCTAAGTACTTGTGCTAAGCACTCCATTATCAGGAGGGTCTTGGGAACACAGAGAATATACATCCTCCAGTCTGGGAGATTCTGGAAAGGCTTTCCAAGTTGGGCACACCTGACCTGAGTTTTGAAGGATGAGTAGAATTTAGGGGATGAATGAACAATGAGTTTAATACGTGCAAAGATTCAGTACTTAAAGAATTTGTTTACGGTGATCTGTCAGCACAAACTTCATTAAAGCGTTTGCTTTGATGTTCCTAAGTGATGTTGGACAAGACAGCATCTTGCATCAGAATTCTCTTTCCTCAGTGAATTGTCTTTGTTCTTGGTAAAATGCCATTGCAATAAAGAGCCTGTTGTAACTTTCCACGGTAACCATAGCCCACTTTACTGAACACCTATTCATAGCAGAAAATATGTATATTTTTAGGCCCGTGTCTATTTGACATTATCTTCATAAAGGAGGAAGGTTTTTTTGTAGACAAATATTTCCCAGACTGTGTTTTCCCAAACCCACTACAAGTCAGTAGCATCCCCAAGTGTGGCAACTAAAAATATCTCCAGACATTTGCCTGTTTCCTGGGGTGCAAAATCTCCCCTGGGTTGAGAAGGACTTCAAGTTCTTGAAGACAGAAGCTGTCTTTTTTCTGAGTCCATAGTGCAGGTTAGACATGTAATAAGTGAATAAATGTTTGTTAAATAAACAAACCTTATAAATAAATAAATAAATAAATAAATAAATAAATAAATAAAACAAACCTCCTTTAAGGTTAAATGAATAGACCTTATGATGAGAAAATATCAGATTATCCAGATTCTAAAAACATCAGGTTATAAACAAGAAAGTTTAACATTATTGATATTGTTTCACTATCTAAATTAACAAGTGAATTGATAAATATAGCTGCTGTTTAACCTCCTGCTGTCTCTACAAACTATAGTAATACAGGCTGATATGTGGAAGATTAATGGATCTTCTTTATCCTGAACATGATGATGGCACCCAAGGTCTAGAGATTTTTATTTAAAATGCACATAATTTTGTAAGCCTGTCTGTAGATCCACTGACGCTCATAAAAGGCTTTCTGCAGTAGCTGACGCCTGAGAGGAGTTCATCATACTGTCTATGTAATTTTGATGTTCCTCATATTCAAAATAATTGCAACATGGTAAAATATTGGAAATCTAGAGAACCTTAGATAAAAAAGACTCCTCAAACTCTTTTATTTCTTAGTATGTTTAGTGAATAGTAAGATCTCAGTAATTGTAGCTGTCATCATCATCATCATCATCATCATCATCATCATCAAGGGAATATCATTCTTCCTGACCAAAAAGCACATAGAATGTCTTTCGATCTCTTCAGGGCCTCCGACCAGCCTGTTCCAGCCACCCCGCCGTCCTGGCCTTGGAACTGTTGGGAAACCCATTCGACTGTTAGCCAATCATTTTCAGGTTCAGATTCCCAAAATAGATGTGTATCACTATGATGTGGACATTAAACCGGAAAAACGGCCTCGTAGAGTTAACAGGTAAGGATGAGAAAGAGTAGACTTTTACATAAATGCGTATAATTTATTTATTATATATCCTGTTCTCTATTTTTTGTTGTTGTTGTTTTCTAATTCTTTCAACATGTAGGCTTTGTTTTCCTCTGAGATGATAAGTTCCTTTGCTGTCTCGTACTTGGTTATCCTCCCCAGATTCTAGCAGAGTGTTGCCTACATCCCAGTTCAATCAGTAAACACTTACTGAAGGAAGAAGCAAAGTCACTCTTTCTTGTCCAAGAGTAGCAGAAATTTATAAAAGTAGGTGAAGAAGACATTAGTGTCTATGGGAAATAGAACTATCTGGAAATTTAAATTTTATTAGTAAGTGTTGGTGATGGACATGAGAAAAATATAAGTGGAAAGACAGATGGATCATCTTGGAGTACTGAAGAAAGTAAGCTGGGAAAGAAGCTCTGTTTAATTCTGCATTATCCAAGAGGGGTGTGGATGAGGTGATTTAAGCATTATGGTCTCTGTGACAGGAATTTACCAAGTGTGAAGACATATATTCTTACAGGGTGCTGAGAACAGCCATTTTCCTTTTCCTTCTTTCCATACTTTGCTCTTCAAGCAGTCCTCAGTATTAGGATTCTTGCTTTTCTGAGAATGCTCTCGTTATCGCTAGCATTGGTAAGACACAGCAGCTGACTTTTCATTGACTCTATCACTCCAAAGTCTCACAGACTCCGACTTAAACTATGTACTCTTGTTTTCCTGCAACTGCATTTACTTCACGGCCTGCACACAGTGTGATCTGGTACATATGCAAGAACACTTAAGTAAAGCTATGCATGCTTGAGAGAAAGGCTTTCTTTCTAAAAAGAAATAAACCACATTGGTAGTCTTTGTGGAATGAGGATATTTCACAACATTCCCTTCTCTACACTGCTTGGGAATGCTCTGGGATAAAACAAGCGACTATGCAGAATTATAAATAGCCAGCATTCGTCAAAGAGGTTGAATTACTCCTTTGCGTATGGTGCATCTTAGATTTATTGATCCTCGGATTTCTGAATTTCTGCCCACTTTCTTTTCCAAAACCAGTATACTTGAAGAAGAATGTATTTTTTAAAGATTTTATTTATTTATTTTTAGAGAGGGAAGGGAAGGAGAAAGAGAGACAAAGAGAAACATCAATGTGTGGTTGCTGGGGGCCATGGCCTGCAACCCAGGCATGTACCCTGACTGGGATTCTAACCTGCGATGCTCTGGTTCGCAGCCCGAGCTCAATCCACTGAGCTATGCCAGCCAGGAAGAATGTATATTTTGATTAAAAAACTTATCATTTTCAGTATGAACATGCCACACTTAGATACCTGAGAGAGGGTATTCTCTCTTGTAAGACTATGTTTATCATAGAGGGATTTGGAAAGCAGGAGAATGAGAGGATGTCATAAATCTTATCACTCTTTCCTTTATATATATATATTTCCTATATTTATATATTACTGATTATGCTATTACAGTTGTCCCATTTCCACCCCCTTCATTCCCCTCCACCCTGCACACCCTCTCCCACCCACATTCCCCCCTTTTAGTTCATGTCCATGTGTCATAAGTTCTTTAGCTTCTACATTTCCCATACTATTCTTGCCCTCCCCCTGTCTATTTTCTACCTACCGTCTATGCTACCTATTCTCTGTACGTTTTCCCCTTCTCTCCTCCTCTCATTCCCCTGTTGCTAACCCTCCATGTGATCTCCATTTCTGTGGTTCTGTTCCTGTTCTAGTTGTTTGCTTAGTTTCTTTTTGTTTTTGTTTTAGGTGTAGTTGTTAATAATTGTGAGTTTGCTGTCATTTTACTATACATGTTTTTTATCTTCTTTTTCTTAGATAAGTGCCTCTAACATTTCATAAAATAAGGGCTTGGTGATGATGAACTTCTTTAACTTGACCTTATCTGAGAAGCAGTTTATCTGACCTTCCATTCTAAATGATAGCTTTGCTGGATAGAGCAATCTGGGATATAGGTCCTTGCCTTTCATGAGTTGGAATACTTCTTTCCAGCCCCTTCTTGCCTGCAAGGTCTCTTTTGAGAAATCAGATGACAGTCTGATGGGCACTCCTTTGTAGGTAACTGTCTTCTTTTCTCTTGCTGCTTTTCAGATTCTTTCCTTATCTCTAATCTTGGCTAAGGTAATTATGATGTGTCTTGGTGTGTTCCTCCTTGGGTCCAACTTCACTGGGACTCTCTGAGCTTCCTGGACTTCCTGGAAGTCTATTTCCCTTGCCAGATTGGGGAAGTTGTCCTTTATTATTTGTTCAAATAACTTTTCCACTTGTTGCTCTTCCTGTTCCCCTTTTGGTACCCCTATAATTGGGATGTTGGAACATTTAAAGATGTCCTGGAGGTTCCTAAGCCCCTCCTCATTTTTAAAAATTCTTATTTTTTCATTCTTTTCTGTTTGGTTGTTTCTTTCTTCCTTCTGGTCCACTCCATTGATTTGAGTCCCAGTTTTCTTCCCATCACTGTTGGTTTCCTGTGTATTTTCCTTCATTTCACTTAGCATAGCCTTCATTTTTTCATCTAATTTGCGATCAAATCCAACCAATTCTGTGAGTATCCTGATCACTAGTGCTTTGAACTGTGTATCTGATAGGTTGGCTATCTCTTAGTCACTTAGTTGTATTCGCTCTAGAGCTTTGATTTGTTCTTCCATTTGGGCCTTTTTTTTTTTGTCTTGTCCCACTCTTTCCTTTTATTCCCCGCTTTTGTTATCATCTCATAGTTGCTTTTGTTCACTTGTTATTACCTTTCTTTAGTTAACTGTTGTTTTAATTACTTAAACCAATGGTCACTTTAATGCTTACTTTTCCCAAGGACTTTTGAACTGAATTTAGATGATTAAGGTATGGTGATAGTTTCCTTACTCTTCACCATTTTTCCAAGCTAACCTCTACTATCTCCATTACTGTTAAGGGAGGTAGTAGATACAATGGTGCGGCACTTCAAGATGCAAATATTTGGTGATCGACAGCCTGGCTATGATGGCAAAAGAAACATGTACACCGCCCATCCATTGCCAATTGGACGGGATAGGGTAAGTGTTGACAGTAGAACGATTTATTAGATTTGGGTCTAATTTAGTAGTAATGACATAGGACAAAAATGTTTCCTCTTCTAATAACAATTCAGTTCTTAGTTGTTTCTCATAGTGATAATAGGTTTTTCTGTCCATATTCTCTTCTCCCATAGTTAATCAATAATTGAACATTAGATGAACATTAGAATTTAGGTCAATTATGTCATCTTTATACATATTCCAAATTTCTCACATTGTTAAAGTGTTACCTGAATCTGAACATGGAGTTTTTATAAGTTATAGAATTTTATATAACACCCACTTATGAAAATATACATAATACCACAGTAAGTTTTTTAAAAATTTATTTTTAAAATTAAAATAGCAATACATAAATATATACTCATTATAAACTCATTTAGACAATCTAGAAATGCTCTGACGACCTGCCTCTCTACCTGTCCTCAATCCACTTTCCCTTTCAGAGGAAACTACTCTAATAGTTTGGTATGTATCCTTTCAGGTGTTTTTATGTGCGCTAGCTGTTTGTGCATTTTTATTTGTTTCCATATTGTTCTGATATATTTTTTCATTTAACAATATATCTGGGAGTTCTTTCCATTTCTGCACATTTAAATCTACCTTATTATTTTTCTAATTGATTTGAGAGAAAAACATTGATTTTTTTGTTCCACTTATTTATGCATTCATTGATTGCTTCTTCTATGTGCCCTGACTGGAGACTGAACCTGCAACTTTGGTGTATTAGCATAATGCTCTAACCAACTGAGCTGCCCTTATTATTGTTTTTTTTTCTAATTTTATTTTAATCATTGTTCAAGTACAGTTTTCTGTCCTTTACTCCCATCCCTTATTATTTTTTAATTCAAAAAAAATTTGCCCTGGTTGGTGTGGCTCAGTGGATTGAAGGTCGCCAGTTTGATTCCCAGTCTAGGGCACAGGCCTGGGTTCCCGGCCGAGTCCCCAGTTGGGGATGCGTGAGAGGTAACCACACATTGATGTTTCTCTCCCTCTCTTTCTCCCTCCTTTTCTCTAAAACTAGGTAAATAAAATATTTAAAAAATTTTTTTTTACTGTGGTAAAGTATACATAACATAGAACTTACTATTTTAACCATTTTTAAGTGTAGAGTTGTGTGGCATTAAGTATAGTCACACTGTTGTGCAATTGTGACCACTGTCCACCTGAGAAGTTTTCATCCTCCCAGACTGAAACTCTACTCATTCAGCCAGAACTCCCCACTCCTTCCTCCCCCAGCCTCCGGTCACCACTCTTCTGCTTTCTGTCTCTATGACTTTGGTCTAGGTGCTTCGTCTAAGTGGAGTCACACAATATTTGTCATTTTGCATCTGGCTTATTTCCCTTAGCACAGTGATTTTAACATTCATAGATTTTGTAGCATCTACCTTATTTTTAAACAATCATATCCTATCAATATTTGATATTAAATCATTTCCCTATTGATGGACATATAAGTTGTTTCTGGTGGTTCGCAATTACAGAAGTGTAAATATCTTTATGCATATATTATACTGAATATTTCTGGGAACTTTCTCTCAGCCTTTGTAAATATACATGTGTATGTATTCTTCCTCAGGTTGATATGGAAGTGACCCTTCCGGGCGAGGGGAAAGACCAGACCTTTAAAGTGTCTGTTCAATGGGTGTCAGTTGTGAGCCTTCAGTTGCTTTTAGAAGCTTTAGCTGGACATTTAAATGAAGTCCCAGATGACTCAGTACAAGCACTTGATGTTATCACAAGACACCTTCCCTCCATGAGGTTAGTACCTTAGTTTGAATTCTTTACCACAGATATCGGACCTTTTTATGTTTTGTTAGTTTGCATTGGAGCCATTGAAAGGTTTCTACATAAGTCATAGTTTAAACTTGGTTTCAATGTACAAAGTGGAGAGTAAAATGAAAGACGTTTCAAGTGTTTATTGTAAAACATGCAAACTTTCATCTCTTCAGGTACACACCGGTGGGCCGTTCCTTTTTCTCACCTCCAGAAGGTTACTACCACCCTCTGGGAGGGGGCAGGGAGGTTTGGTTTGGCTTTCATCAGTCTGTGAGACCTGCCATGTGGAATATGATGCTCAATATTGATGGTAGGATGGCATTCTCTTTCCTCTTAAGCCTTTTGGCCGATTTTCTTGATCCTGTGTCTTTCCCTGAAGCTAAGTATCTTCCTCTCTCTTTGTTAGTATCTGCAACTGCCTTCTACCGGGCTCAGCCTATCATTGAGTTCATGTGTGAGGTTTTAGACATTCAGAACATCAATGAACAGACCAAACCTCTAACAGACTCCCAGCGTGTCAAGTTTACCAAAGAAATCAGAGGTAGGTGTTTGCATTACCATAGTCTTGGAGAGGCAGTTCAGCATGGTGCAGGGAGCATGGTCTTGGAGTCACACTCACCTGGGCTGTTGTCCCCCCCGCTAGATCTATCAGTGGGACCTTGGGCAAGGTACCTAACCACTGTGAGCCTTAGATCACTCATCTCTAAGGTAAAGGTGTACCTCGTAAGACTGTTGTGAGAATTAAATCCAATTAGATTTATAAGCTTAAACGCAATTAGATTTATAAAGTTTCTAGCATAATACCTGGCACATAACAGGCACTTACTGTTTTAAAAACCTCTATTTTAATAAACTAACACAAATTTGCTTATTTTCCTTTTGGAATTTTTTTCCTCCTTTGCTTGTAATTAGCTATCTTCTCTCACTGGAATATGTTTTATTAGCACCTGAACACAATGCATGCATAGTAATTATGTATTGAATGAAGTAATAAATTAAAGTGGTTGCACATCTCCAGTCATCTGGGTTCTAGTATTTTCTGCTTAGCCGAGACATTTTGTCTACACGTAACGAAATTATTCCCTTGTCCTTGCAACTTATGTCCTGTGCAATGGCACATCTTTCTGAAGACATTCGAATCTGTTTTTATCCTTATGCTTCTAATTAATACTGATTTTTTAAAGATTTTATTTATTTTTAGAGAGAAGGGAGGGAGATAGAGAGAGAGAGAAACATCAATGTGCGTGCGGTTGCTGGGGGTGATGGCCTGCAACCCAGGCATGTACCCTGACTGGAATACTGATGTTTTAACTTTGTTTTTCAACTTCAGGTCTTAAAGTTGAGGTGACTCACTGTGGACAGATGAAGCGAAAATACCGAGTTTGCAATGTGACTAGACGGCCAGCCAGTCATCAAACGTATGTTAACCACCTCTAGAATGACAGCATTACGTTTTTGCTAACAGAGGAAGCTACTGTCATCATTTGAGGAATTGGTATCTGATATTGCAATTTTTCAAAAATATTGAGGTCTTCACATTTAAGCACCAAAGCTCTAACAGTGTTTTAAAAATTTTTGATACACATTTGTAGAACTTATTTCCTGCCTTTAATTTGTTTCACCTCTTCAACAGCATATGCTAAGCAGAGATCAGCTTTCATCTAGTGATACAGATAGGATCATCATTTATTATACTCTTGTGATTCTCAATGCGTGGCCCAAAGGGTTTATTAAGGCCTGTACGTGATATGGGGCTGTCATGGCAAGATGTATATCATGGAGCCATTGAAAGTTTCCCGTACCAGTCACCGTTGAAACTTGGTTTCAGGTTACACAGTTGTGTGGGTTGCTCTCCCTCCTTTTGGAGCAAGCTGTCTTCTTCCAGCTGTCAGTGCGCATGGCACACCTCCAGCAGCGCACTCACTTTCACTTCTCCATCTCATTTTCCTAATCCCCCAACTTCTGGCCCACTGTGAGCTACGCCTAATGAGAAACTACACTCTGGAGTGCTTTTTAAATCACCATATATGTAGGTTTTGTTCTTGTAATCTGTATCCCTAAACTCATGACTGAGATGAACATAAATATTGTCTCTTCTAAGTAAATAACCTAAATATATAAACTTTATATTATTTTGATTACTCAGAAGCCTTGCAAAATGTTTTAAATTTTTTTGCTTATATTCTAATCTGACTTTGTTTTAGATCCACGGTTCTCGATATTTGAACTTTAGAGTATATCAAAACCACCTTTGAAGGCCTTTGGTCTAGATAGTTAAATTTTTGGGATGGGTGACCTCTGGATAAATGTGGCATATTAATTCAATCTGATTTGAACAAATTCTTCAGTATTAACTCATGTACACATTACATAAGTTTCTTCAGAGTTATAAAGTGATATTCCATGTAATCTTCATATTATGTCACTGACCTCATTCTCTAGGGGGGAAAATGTTACCAGAATCTTAGGAAATCATTACTGAGAATTTTAGCATTTGTTTCAAGAGGAACTGTCTCTTTTTCATTATTTAATTACTTTACAACCCTATAAGAATAACTATACTTACATACCTATATAATTTATGCATGAAAATTAAAAACACATAAATTTATTCTCTTTAATTTTTTTCAAGGAAATAAACTTTTAATTTCAAGTTTATTTTATCACTTGGACTTTAGAATCTGCAGAAAGCCACCAGTTTTTAGTACAGCATAATCTTACAATATAGACCATGAACCTTTCACAGTAATTAAAATGTAGTCGTCATAGCAAGTAATATTTTCCTTCTTCATTTTGCAATGTCAAATAAAATTAACCTCTAAACAATTTTAAACATGCCTCTATTTTCTATAAGTGCACTGATTTTAGTCCAGAAATGTAAACCTTCTTGGATCAATATGGAGCTGAACACATGATTTTCTCCTCAGACATAGATGCCTAATTGCATGAAGTGGTCAGGAGCCTGCTTGTTTACAACCTGGCATTCTGAATTCAGACTAGGAGAGTTACACGAGTGTTACATAGGTGATACTCACTGCGTTGTTAGTTCATGGTGTTGTAACAATAAAGAAAGCGAGATTGAAGTTAGTATTGTGCCAAGTATTAGACATAATTTGCCCACTGGAAGAGTCAAATTAACAGTCTCTTACATCAGCCTCCTCAGTTTATACAAAGTATCCTAGCATAGTCTCAGTTTCATGTATTTGGTCTTGTTTCCTCCAAATCCACATGTATTTGTCCCGGTTTAGTGGGACATTTTAATTATCTGAAAATATGGGCCCAATCACTATGCTACACTCATTTTGCCAAAAAAAAATATTTTTTTTCTTAAGCAAACAAAATTTCTATTTATAAGAAGCCAATAAGAGATTGTATTTGTAGGTATTAACTGACCTCTAGTGAATCTCTATAATTTCTGATTCTGTAGCTTCTGGTCTTAAGTTCTTTTTAAACTTTAATTATAATTTTTTCTCATTCTAGCTTTAAAAAATATGGAAAACTCCAACGTGATCACTGATTGGATTAAATACCAAAATGACTTAAGGGAAAATGTACAAGTAAAGATTGACCTTTGTTTTTAAGTGACTGATAAAGGTAGAAAATGTCAGTAGACTTTTGTTTGTTTGCTTGTTTGAGAAGAGAGAACTTGACATTTCTAAAAAGACATTGTCTCCTGTAGTTTTCCTTTACAGCTAGAAAATGGTCAAGCTATGGAATGTACTGTAGCTCAATATTTTAAGCAAAAGTACAGTCTGCAGCTGAAATACCCCCATCTTCCATGTCTCCAAGTAGGACAGGAACAAAAGCATACGTACTTGCCACTTGAGGTAAGCTCAATTTTCTTTTGCCAGTCTGCCAGTTTCTTGAACGAGTTAAGAAACAAAATCGTATCTAAGCAAGTGGTAGAATTTAGTGTCAATCTCTGAAATATTGGGGGCTGATTATATAACAAAACTTTCATTTTTGAGGGGCGGGGGGGGAACGGATGTAAAGTAGAATTCGTCAAAGGCTTAAGATATAGAAGCCCATCACACAAACGAATTTCTCTTTGCCTCTTGGTAGGTCTGTAATATAGTGGCAGGACAGCGATGTATAAAGAAACTCACAGACAATCAGACGTCCACGATGATCAAAGCCACGGCAAGATCTGCTCCCGACAGACAGGAAGAAATCAGTAGACTGGTCAGTAAGGCATGGCCTTTAAGACAAGCTAGCTTTGAGATACAAAGACAACGCAGTAGAAAACTCCTGATGGGACATAGTTACTCTTCGGTTCTTATATATGCAGGCTTTCCTGTTCTTTAGGTGAAGAGTAACAGCATGGTGGGTGGACCTGACCCATACCTTAAAGAATTTGGTATTGTTGTCCACAATGAAATGACAGAGCTCACAGGCAGGGTACTTCCAGCACCAATGCTACAGTATGGAGGCCGGGTAAGCTTTTCATTTTGTTCATCAGGCTTCTTCCAACAGCCAGTCAAAAACAGAGTAACTGAGGGCTTTTCTACACCGCCACAGTGAATTTGCCCATAGTTATGCTTATTATTGCTCTTTGTCTTTTGGCTAATACCACATAGAGTTCTGTTTATCCCCTCATCAATATTCAAATGGCCTTAGATTGTAATGTCTTTTCTCTTTTCTTTTGTTTCTTTTTTTTGTTTTGTTTTGTTTTTAAAGAATAAAACGGTAGCCACACCCAACCAGGGTGTCTGGGACATGCGAGGAAAGCAGTTTTATGCTGGCATTGAAATTAAAGTTTGGGCAGTTGCTTGTTTTGCGCCTCAGAAACAATGTAGGGAAGATTTACTAAAGTGAGTATCTTCGTATTTTCAGCTTAGTAATATCACTTCCAGATATGAAAAATGCCATCTCTCTGTGAATGTGCTGTGTGCACTGGCACCAAATCCCTGACTGCTGTAGTGACACCGCCTGGCTCTAGGAGAAGCACCTTGTATTGTAATAAATTGCCAATTCGGGAAATACATTGAGAGTCTGACTCAGCTTCCTTACATTTAGAGCAGACATCTGTGACTCACAGGGTTGAAGCATTGCCCGTTGGCAAATTTGTGGGTTCTTAGTGAAGCTTTCTTTGGTATTAATCGTATCCTTCCAGCTAAGATAAAAATGAGTTTATTTTTAACCATTCTAATTTACTAGCAAGCACGTTTTACTAAAAGGTCACTGCCTAAGATCGCTGGTCCATGCCTCACAGAGGCGGCTGTCTGGACGAAGGAAGTGAGTGAGAAGAGGGGAGAAATCGAGGCAGAGAAAGGGAGCTGGGGTGAAAGGAAGGAATCCTACAAAATATTGGCAAACTCACAAAAGAAACTATTCTGAAAGCTTTATACATAGACTGGAGTAACTCCTGAAACCCAACGTTCAAAATTTCGTAACAAGGTTTTCTTTTTTGAAGGGATGATTTCTTTTGCCATTGTGTTCATTCACATGTGTTGCTAGTCTGAATGTCACCCTAAATGCAGTGATTGTGTAACAGAGTGTGTCCGGGTTCTCAACTGAACCCTTGCTTACAAGAGCTCACCCAACTATCCTCATAGCAGGCTAACCCAAGTACACATTGCCTGAAATTTTGACCTTGCATTTCTTCAGTCCAGAATTACTAACTTGCATGTTTTTTTTGAAAAAAAAATCTTTGGCCAGGAATGTTATTTGAATCCCTGGGGCCTTAAGTATAACTATTTAAAAATTCAAAATGATAATTCGATAGTGTAACAATACAGATTCTTCTGCATGGTAATGATACAACACCCAGTCTGTTTTTCTCAAATAGCTAAAAAAAATGTTGTTGTTTATTTGTTTGTATCTAATTTTGGCTAAGAATTTGCAGAATTGAAGGAAGTATCATAGAGGGAAATAAATACTAAGTATGAAAGCAGTGTGCCACTGGTTCTGTTTTAACAGGAGTTTCACTGACCAGCTCCGTAAAATCTCTAAGGATGCAGGAATGCCCATCCAGGGCCAGCCATGTTTCTGCAAATACGCACAAGGTGCAGACAGCGTGGAGCCCATGTTTAAACATCTGAAAATGACATATGTGGGCCTTCAGCTAATAGTGGTGATCTTGCCCGGGAAGACGCCAGTATATGGTATGGACCCCTTTAAGGTTGAATGAAGGATGGTTTCTATGGTAGGTGTGACAGACAGGATAAGCTAGAATATGCTGCAGTCACAAACAATCCCAGACTCTCCGGGGCTGCAAGCAGCCATGAGTTTGCTTTTTGCTCCTGCAGTGCATCCATTGCAGGTAGACTACAGCCTCTGCTCCTTGTCATCCTATCATTTTCACTCTTAAAACCTGGGCTGGCAGAGCAGTCACTGTTTGGAATGTTACAGGCTTCATGGCAGAGAGAAAAGAGAGCTCTGGAGGGTTCTTAACATCTGCAACTTCTTGGCCACAACCAGCTGTATTGGCCTATCCAACCCATGTGGGGGAAGATGGGCATGGGGCCAGGAAATGCAGTGGAAGTGAGGACTGGGCATGTAGTGGAATTCTGTCATAGCCCCCAAAGCAGGGAGAACTGGAATGTCGGTTAAAAACACTGAGGAATATTATAGTGGGGAAGAGGAGAGGAACCTACCACTTCCAGAAAAGGAGCTGTTTAGTTTGTATCTATTAGAAGAATGATGTGAAGTTCTTCTGGCTATTATGTAAGTGAAGGATTTGGAAACTGTAGACCAAGCTGTCTGAGCTTTGTAAAATATCTTCATCCCTCTCTGTATTTGCTTCTTTTGTTACCTTCAGTTTATCTCTAATGTTTAGAGAAAAAAAAAAAGGCTGAGGTGGAGAGGAGGGGAAAATTCAATGGGCTGGTATGCCTGGAGTGAGAAGGGGTAGCCAGGGAGATTGAATCCTTTGTCAGACCAGTCCTGCGGGAAAAGGAACCTCCAGGGACTGAGTAAGTGGTAGCAGGCAGCATTGTAGAATAAAAAAGTAGGCTAGTTTAAAGGCCTGGCCCTGGCTGTGTAGCTCAGTTGGTTAGAGCATCATCTTGATTGGTTAGAGCATCATCTTGATATGCCAAGGTTGTGGGTTCAATCCCTGGTCAGGGCACATACAAGAAGCAACCAATGAATGCATAAATAAGTGGAACAACCAGTTGATGTCTCTCACTCTCTCTCTCCTTTCCTTTCTCTCTAAACATCAATAAATTAAAATTTAAAAACACTGGAGCTCCAGTGGCACAATCAGTTAGCGGGAGGTACTTATAAAACTGGAAAACAAATAAAGGCCTTTGGGAGAGAAGGAAGGGGGTGGGAGATGTCCTATCCAAACTGAAAAAAAAAAATGCCCTGGGGTTTAGCAAATGAAAAACACCACACAAGAAAAGCATCTAGCACCGTGTACAGTATATAGTAGGCACTCTGTAAATGTCAGTATAGATTTTCCCCTCTACTCTTAGTAATTAAGAAAATATTTAAACATTTAAAAAATCAATTAATTATTTTTGTAGCGGAGGTGAAACGTGTTGGGGATACCCTCCTGGGTATGGCCACGCAATGTGTCCAGGTAAAAAATGTAGTGAAGACCTCACCCCAGACTCTTTCCAACCTTTGCCTGAAGATAAATGCAAAGCTTGGAGGAATTAACAACGTGCTTGTACCTCATCAAAGGTAAGATTCTGAACTCTGTTTTTCCCACTTTTTTATTAAGCTCTAACTTACATAATTTACAGTAAAGCACACAAATCTCAAGTATGCATCTTGATTACTTTTTCTTTATTTTTCAATTTTCTTTCTTTTTTAAAAAGAGTTTTGTTTATTTTTTAGACAGAGGGGAAGGGAGGGAGAAAGAGAGGGAGAAAACATCCATGTGCGAGAGAAGCATTGATCAATTGCCTCTTGCAAACCCCCAGCAGAGCACCTGGCCCACAACCCTGGCGTATGCCCTGACTGGTAATCAAACCAGCGACCTTTCAACCTTTCGGTTTGCAGGCCAGTGCTCAACCCACTGTGCCACACCAGCCAGGGCCAACTTTTCTTTCTTTATATATATATATATATAAAGTTTTTCTTTTTTTAAAAAGGTTTTATTTATTTTTAGAGAGAGGGAAAGGGAAGGAGAAAGAGAGGGAGAGAAACATCAATGTGTGGTTACCTCTCACACACCCCCTACTGGGGATCTGGCCCACAACCTAGGCATGTGCCCGGACTGGGAATCAGATTGGTGACCCTTTGGTCCACAGGTCATCACTTAATCCACTGAGCTGCACCAGCCAGGGCTTAGAACATTATTGACTGTATTCCTTATGCTGTACTTTACATCCCCATGACTATTCTGTAACTACCAATTTGTACTTAATTCCTTTACCTTTTTCACCTATGCCCCCAACCCCTCTCCCATCTGGTAACTGTCAAAATATTCTATGGATATAGATACAGAGAATATTTTCTGCTTCTCTCTGCTTGTTCATTTATTTTGTTTTTTAGATTCAATTGTTGATAGATATGTATTGCCATTTTGATGTTCATATTTTTTTATTTTTTTCTTCTTCTTAAAGAAGACCTTTAACATTTCATGTAATACTAGTTTGGTGGTGAGGAACTTCTTTTAGCTTTTCCTTGTCTGGGAAGCTCTTTGTGCATCCTTGGATTCTAAATTAAGCTTTGCTGGGTAGAGTAATCTTGGTCATAGGTCCTTGCTTTTCACCACTTTGAATATTACTTGCTAATCCTTTCTGGCCTACAAAGTTTCTGTTGAGGAATCAGCTGACTGTTTTATGGGAGCTCCCTTAGAGGTAACTAATTGCTTTTCTATCGCTGTTTTTAAGATTCTCTACTTATCTTTAACTTTTGGCATTTTAATTATGGTATGTCTTGGTGTCCTCTTTGGATCCATCATGTTTGGGACTCTGCCTTTCCTGGACTTAGATGTCTATTTCCTTCACCAGGTTAGGGAAGTTTTCTGGCATTATTTTTTCAGATAGGATCTCAATTTCTTACTCCCTCTCTTCTTCCAGCACCCCCATGATGCAAATATTGGTACGCTTGAAGTAGTCCCAGAGGCTTCTTACACTATCCTCATTTTTTTGGATTATTTTTTCTTTTTGCTGTTCTGATTGGGTATTTTTTGCTTTCTTATCTTCCAAATTGCTGATTTGATTTTTGTCTTCATATACTCTACTGTTAATTTCCTGTAAATTAACCTTCATTTCTGTTAGCCTCATTTCTAACTGGTTATTTTTTATGGTTTCCATGTCCTTTTTTATGCTGTTGAAGTTCTCACTAAGTTCCCTTAGCATCCTTATAACCAGTGCTCTAAACTCTGCATCTGTTAGATTATTGGTCTCCATTTTGTTTAGTTCTTTTCTGGAATTTTGTTCTGTTCTTTCATATTACTTTGCCTCCTTATTTTGGCAGCCTCCCTGTATTTGTTTCGAGGTAGAGCTTCTACATCTCCTGGGCTTGGTAGAGTGGCCTAATGTAGTAGGTGTCCTGTGGGGTCCATTGGTACTGCCTCCCTATTCACCCAAGCGAGCCCTCTACGTGTACCCCCCCACCATGTGGGCTGTGTATACTCTCCTGTTGTCGTTGAGCTTTGATTGCTGATGAAGCATCAATGGGAGGGATTTAGCCCCAGGCACATCACCTACAGGGACTGGTTTCAGCCACCACAGAGAATTAGCTGTGCAGGGGCCCACCCCATGGAGCAGAACTCACTTCAGCAGGGCTCTGGTGCCCACTGAATCCGCCTCCTGAGTGTGTCCCTTGTGGAGGAGGTTTTTTGGTGCTTTGATGTAGTCTGAAGCTGTCCACTGGGCATGCTGGCTCTGGGACCTCCAAGAAAGTGCAGTGCAAGGTCAGCCACCACCTGTGTCCTGTCTAGGACCACCTGGCATGAACTACAAAGTGATCAAAGTTGGGTGGGGTGAGATCTCAGGGAATCACCAAGGTGGAGCAAACAGTATGAGCCAGGTTGATGGAGATTCAGTTATGGCCCTGGGCTGCCAGCTCTGTGGGGGAAGGACTCAGGAAAGGAACAATGGTCTCTGCCAGTACTTCTATCTGGGAGAAAGGTGCCCCTCCAGGTCTCACTCTGATGCCAGACAATTCAATTCCTCCCTATATGTCCTGGTTCCTTTTGAGCTGCTTCCCCAGTGGTGGAGGTTGGATGAATAAGTCCGAGTAAATTCATGTTTGGGCCCTTTAAGAGGAACTTCCTGGGACTCCAGAAACCCTTAGCCTTACTCAACAACAATCCCTGCTGGTTCTTATAGCCAGAAATTATGGGGACTTCTCTTCCTGGCACTGGAATCCTGGATTTGGGGGTCTGGTACTCCCCAGGGGTGGACCTCCACAGCCGAGATATCCCTCCTGGTTGTCATCCACCACATGTGGATGTAGGACCACCTCTTTCCTCATCTCTGTCCTCCTACCAGTCTTGATGTGGCTTTTTCTTATACCCTTACTTGTAGAACTTCCATTCAACTGGATTATAGGTGGTTCTTAATGATGGCTGTTGTCTAGTTTAGTTGTAATTTTGATGTGGTTGTGGGAGGGTCTGAGTACCACGTTTACCTACCCCACCATCTTGACCAGAAGAAGCCTTGACTGCTTTTTCTTATTTACACGCACACTCCTGTAAGCACCATCCAGGTTAAGATATAGAACATTTCCAGAACTTTATCAAGCTTTCTTATGGCTCCTCCCAGTAGGTATCCCCATTATCACTTAAAATCAATTTTAAAAAAAGAAATACAATATAGCCTCTGCCCTCATGAAGGTACCTATTCTTTAGTGCCTATTACATCCTTAGTACCTTTACATGAGATTTTCTAACTTGGAATGCCTCCTAGATTATTCTTTAAGAATCCTACTTTTAAAAATTTACCGGAGAAGCATGCATGGTATTTTTTCCTTGATCCCTGGATAGAAAAATCAGGGCCAAATAAATAAATTCATTCTTTCAACAAATATTTATTGAGTATCAACTGTGAGCTAGTAGTGTTCTAGGCTCAAGGGACACAGCAGTGCCCTGTGGAGCTTACATTCATGTGTGTATGTGTGTGCACAATAAATAAAATAAATAAAGTGTGTAGGGTAAGTGATAAGTACTGTAAGTAACAATAAATAGAGAAGGAGATAGACTTGATTCTCTTTCCTAGGTCTCACATTCTAAAAATAATTGGGGGCTTGATCCCAGTTCCATATACATTCTGCAGTTCTGTATCCATTGTAAGAAATCTTAGGATCTTGCCCTGGTTGCTATGGTTTAGTTGGTTGGAGTGTTGTCCCACAAACTGAAAGTCACGGGTTCGATTCCTGTTCAGGGCACATACCTAGACTGTGGGTTCCTTCCCTGGTTGGGGCAAATAGGAGAGGCAACTGATCTGCTTCTCTCTCACATCAGTGTTTCTCTCCTTCCCTTCCCCGCTCTCTAAAACCAGTAAGTATATCCTCAAGTGAGGATTAAAGAAAGAAGAAGAAAAGAAAAATCCCAGGATCCCAAGAAAGCCTGTTCAGAGAAAATTTTCCCTTTACACATAGAGATTTCATTAAATTTGAGTTGGGTCCTCATTTTTAATTCTTCCCTTCCTACCGTTTACAGAAGAGCCATGTTGATTTCTGTAGTCAATTCAGACTCACCGTACTGGGTGGCACATAAACACAGTGGGCCTTAGAGCCCTCTCCCACTGGGCACAAGTCTTTATTCTCTCCTATAAGATTATGTCTGTGATTGTATCCAGTAAGCTTGCCAAACCCAAACATTTTCGTCTGTGTATCTGAGTGGCAATGTCTTTTTCAATCTGAGCAGGCCATCGGTGTTCCAGCAGCCCGTCATCTTCCTAGGAGCAGATGTCACGCACCCCCCTGCAGGGGATGGGAAGAAGCCTTCCATTGCTGCTGTTGTTGGCAGCATGGACGGCCACCCCAGCCGGTACTGTGCAACTGTTCGGGTGCAGACTTCCCGCCAGGAGATCTCCCAGGAACTCCTGTATAGTCAGGAAGTAATCCAGGACCTTACTAACATGGTTCGGGAGCTGCTGATCCAGTTCTACAAATCCACACGCTTCAAACCCACACGGATCATCTATTACCGTGGAGGGGTGTCCGAGGGACAGATGAAACAGGTACTCTTGTTGTCCCATAGTTGCCTTTTGGGGCTTCTGGCTGTCTGACCGAGCCTCCTTTCATCGGCCACTCCGGGTAAATTAGATCTGAGAGACACAAGGTGAGTTCTCAATTAAATGTCATTCCATTTGTAACTCCTAGGTAGCTTGGCCAGAACTAATAGCAATTCGAAAGGCATGTATTAGCTTGGAGGAAGATTACCGGCCAGGAATAACCTACATTGTGGTGCAGAAAAGACATCACACACGACTCTTCTGTGCAGATAAAACAGAAAGGGTAAGGAAATATAGGATAAGCTTCATTATTTGATACAAGTAAGTGTGGTTTTTGAGTGGGCATATATATAATTCTTTTCCTAAAAGCAGAAGTGCCTAATAATAATTCAGTAACTAAACCAATTACAATTAATCTTAGGTGACTAATTCTGAAGAATACAGGTTTCGAGACTGAATAGTTGTCTTATTTCTAAAGTTTTTAGGAGAGAGGTCAGAAAAACATGCCAGGTCCACTAGGGTGATATAGGCAAACTTCATAGGGCTCGGTTGTCTGTTTGGACTTTATTGCCACTTGCTACTTTTTGCTGCCAGTGCCTTAGGCATGGGTCTAGGGTACAAAGAAGAATTTATCTCCTAAATGATTTTTATATCAGTGCAGAGGATTCTCAGGATACAGACTTGGAACACTTATGATGTCACACTTACTAACCATGGGCAGGTTGCTTAACTTCTCTAAGCCATAATGTTCTCAACTGTAAAATGTATTAAGAACAAGACCGGCCCTGGCTGGTATAGCTCAGTAGATTGAGCGCAGGCCTGTGACCCAAAGCATCACCAGTTTGATTCCCAGTCAGGGCACATCCCTGGGTTGCAGGCCATATTCCCAGTATGGGGTGTGCTAGAGGCAACCACACACTGATGTTTCACTGCCTCTCTTTCTCCCTCCCTTCCCTATCTCTCTAAAATAAATAAATAAAATCTTAAAAAAAAAAAAACAACAATACCTATGTCACAGGGTTGTTGTAAGGACTAGATGAATACATGAATGTTAATCTGCGGTAAAGTTCCCAGCACTTGATAAGAGGCATTTTGTGTAATGTGTCTATTTATAATCTTACATTTATGTGTAAACCAGGTGAGCACGCGGTAGTGGATGACTTTGCTTTTATGATATTTTTATGGCATTACTTCATGTTTTCCAGGCCCTCCCTGATCCACCCCCAGGGAGACCAGTTCTCTCTGTTGTCTAACGATGTGATCTTGTGGGTCACTCCCACTGTTTTCTAGTGTGTCCTTAGTTTTTGCCTCTACTCCAAGTCTGAGCTGTTTCTGTTTTCTAAATCATTTCAGAATAGAGAACTCAGGGTTTTCTCCTTGGGGCTGCAGGTCCACCAGTCAGCTCAGGTTCAAAGTGCTGCCCTATAAACGGCCTGAACCCTGACTCAGTAGTACTTCTTAGACTCCGCTGCAAATACACTCTCTGAACTCTTGCACGATCTTTGGGCACAAAACATCCTGCCACCCCCTCTTTAAGTGCACTATCACCTTTCCATCCCTCTGTCAGCTTGCTCTTCACGTAGCTTTTGGGCCTGGGTTATCTTTCTGAAACCTCAGGCTACCTCACAGTTTTGCTCTTTCCTGTGCCGTGTCACTCCTAACCTTTCAAGACTGAGAGTCCCAGTCCTTGGTCTGCTTGGCACCCCTCACACACATAAACAGCTTCAGTTCTCTGAACATGCCTCCTGCTGATCTCCAGCTCTGAACCAGTCCACTTGCCCATTTCCTTTGGTTTACTCTGAGGCTGATAGAGATTGCTGAAGAAAAAAAGGTACTTGTGCCCTGGCTGGTGTGGCTCAGTGGATTGAGCCCCGACCTGCAAACCAAAGCGTCACCAGTTTGATTTCCAGCCAGGGCACATGCCTGGGTTGTGGACCAGGTCCCCAGTGGGGGGCATGTGAGAAGCAACCACACATCGATGTTTCTCTCCCTCTCTTTCTCCCTCCCACCCCCTCTGTCTAAAAATAAATAAATAAAATCTTTAAAGAAAAAAGTCACTTAATAATTACCTGTATTACAAATTCATAATAACAAATCTCAGCCAGGTCTTTGAGATTGCAGTCTTTTTATTTATTTTATTCCCTACTGCATCTGTTCCAAATCTTTGTATTTTCCTCAGCCCTCCAGCCCTATCTGTGATGCCTTCCCTGCCAACAATTTACATTGCCAACAGTAGAACAACCTTCCATTTCCCTCAGAAAACAATCTAGACAGGCACGAATTTTCTTGGCATCCTTTCCTCTACTTTCAAATTTAGTTAAATCTGATGTTTCTTATCTTCTTCCTCACACCTCAGAGGCTAATTTCTCCACCTAAGCTTTTTTCCCCTACTTGTGCCTTTGTTCCTCCTGCTTTCTGCCTTCTCCAGCACCTCACTGCATTAATCACCCTTTATTTTCCAAAATTTCCATCTTTCCCATTAGTCGGCCTCCATCTCCTCGCCCTGTCAAGTTTCTTAACTCTTCCGTAGTCACCCAAATAAGCTTCTCTTCCCTCTGCTTCTCTGTCGGTCTACCTGCCACCTTATCTTTCTTTCCTTTCCTGACCAGACTTTAGGAAGAAAATGACTTGACTCTCTCTGTGCCTCCTCACGTCCTACTGTGTGTAGTTCTCTGTAGCCTGACTCTGACTGCAATGACCCCAGTAAGGTGGCTCTCTTCATGACTACCCCATTTGGAATCCAGCGACACCTTTTCAAAGCTTCTCGCTGCCCTCTTTGCCGCACTGACGATGTTCGCCTTCTTTGGCCTCAGCAATGTGACCACCCAGGTTCACCACCCACCTCCATCATCAAGCTTTCTTCGACTCTTCCTCCTCCTCTGTGGTGTTTCTTGCCATTTCCCCCTTCTTTTTCTTCTCAACTTCAACTCCCTTCCATCTCACCCGCTTCTCTGGATTCACTCATTTGCTCATAAGTTTCCTAAATCTCTATTTCCAGCTCCAAACTTTCCTGTGCAGCTCCCAACTTGCACTTCCAAATATCTACCAGACAACTTTCCTTATTTGCTCTGTAGGCATTGTGTCAGTCAAGAGAGGCTAGGCCATGCACAAAAGTCAGAGTGGCTTACAAAGATTTATTTCTTGCTCACATTACACACTCACTGTGACTGTCTGCAGCAGCTGTGACCCTGCTGTCCTCCCTTTAGAACCTAAGCTGACAGAGAAACATCTATCTGGAACATTGCCAGTCATTGTCGCAGAGGGGAAAAAAGATACAGGACAAGCCATGTGCTGGCTCTTAAAGCTTCTGCCCAGAAGTAACACATTTCAGGCCACATTTTATCTGCCAACGCAAGTGACATGGCCACTCCTGAGTTAATTGGGTGGGGAAGTATAATCCTCCTCCAGGGAGGGGCACAGGATATTTGGCATGCGTGATACAATCTGCCATAGGCGTTTCAAGCAAAACACGTCTAAACCTTTTACTCGCTGTGTTATCCTCATCCAAAACCTGTTCCTCCCCCATCTTCTTTTTCTTCTGTTACTTGGCATTACTGTATATTAAGTGAGCCAAGCTAGACATTTCAGAATTGTCTTTAAATTCTTCTCCTCCTTTCCTGTCCCCCCAAATCCAGTTGGTCAAAGAGTCTTCTGTTCTGCCCTGAATCTCTGGTCTCAATGCTTCCTCCTGTGTGCTGCTCCCTGTACCCTAGGCAGAAGTCCTCTGTTTTGTGGGAGACTCCTAGGGATCTCCCTGTCTCCATTCCTCTGCAAATGCGCCCTCTGCCTGCTCTCAAGGCTAGGTTTTTACGGTACAGATCGTACCCTGCCACTCCACTGGTCAAAACTCTGCACATGTCCCCACTGCCCACTGAATGCTCTCCTGTGCTGTTCAGTGTTGTCCCCAGTAGTCAGAACGTAACACTTTCATTTCATCTTTCACCATGCCCTCGTCGACCTTCTGTTCCCCGTGTAATCTGTGCATTTTTATCCCTGGAATGACCACGTCCATCCCAGCCCCCTTATGTTTTCCATTTAAAAAAAAAATAAAGTATAATACAGATACAGTAAAATTTGCCCTTTTCAGTGTACTGTTGTGCAAGTTTTGACAAATGCATGTAGCTGTAGAGCCATCACCTCAATAAAGACATAGAGCAGTCGCACCCTCAGGTTCTCTCGTGCCCTTCCGTACTCAGTCCTTCCCCGTACCTACAGCCCCTGGTGATCGCCGGTATGGATTCTCCCCCTGGAGTTTTGTTTTTTCCAGAATGTCATAGAAATGGATTTCCACAGCTTTGGAGCCTGGCTTCTTTTACTTAGCATAATGCACTTGAGATTCATCCAAGGTTTCGTATGGATCAGCAGTTTGTTCCTTTCTATTGCTGAGTATTGTTTCATGGTATGGATGAACAACACTTTATTTATCCATTCCTATCTTGAGGGGATATTTGGAGAGTTTCCTGTTTTTATCCCATCCTCCCCCTTTCAACTGCTGCATTTAAGGTATGACTCCACGATTTCCTCCCTCCAGGTTTTCCCAGTGCCTTCCATAATGCCCTGATCACGTATCTTTGCAGTTCATTATATATAGTTTCCATGAAAGACAGGAAGGCGTGTTCATTAGTTCTCTCTGTGGCTCTGTCTCTCTTCCCCAACATCTGCACAGCCCTGCAGGTGGGTGCTCAAGTGATAATTATTGACTGGAACATGCCTGGATCACCTTTTTCCCAGGGCATCATCTCTTCAGGTTCTCATTTATAGATTCCAAGAGATTTTAAAAAGAAGAGATTCTGTGGTCCAATAAGTTTGGGAAATGCTACATACTCCATCTCCCTCTTAAAAATTATACCTCATTAAATAAAGGTTCTGAGAAGCTATATAATGGAAAAGCCTTTTAAAATTTGGGTTAACTCAGTATTTCACAAATTTGTTTGACCATAAAACACCCAAATACATCCTGCAGGACTAATATTCCTAAAGAACACATTTTGGGAAAGAGTGCTAGAACTATTTTTAACTCAGTTACATCTCCTCTTGTTCTGCTAGGAACCCAAGTTCACACCTGAATTTGATGGAGTGAGACTTTTCTATACTCATAGATGTTCTTGTATGCATTGGTGTATCATAGATATAGGGCATAGATGCATTGGTGTATGGTCCTCAGCTAAAGGTAACAACAGGTAGAATGGAGCCAGATAAACTCTCATCAAATTTATGCCTAGATGCTAAATAAAATTCCTCATATGGAACCCTGCTGTGCAGCAGAAAAGGATGAAAATTGACCAAATAACAAGATTTAATTTCTTTCCTTGAAATGCATTTCTGAAGGTCTCCTACTTTTTTAAAAGTTTGATTTTAGAGTTTTGGCCATAGAAGAACTTCAGAACTTTTTAAGTGTAAGAGATCATTGCCTAATTTTGTAGCTGATGAGATTGTGGCCCAAAGCTATTATTATGCTTTGTTCAGTGCACACAGTTGCAAGGCGAGACAGAGAGCTGCAACTCTGGTTTCCCAATTTACATTGCAGTGTGCTCTTCCTGAGAACGCTATGCTGGTGTCTTTTTCCTCTTGACTCCCTGAAAATATACTTTGTTGGACCAGTTCAGAGATTTCTTTATCTTCACTTTTATTGCATGCTGTAGGTTTTTTTAAAATTCCAAGTAAGGGTTAAAAGTGATTTTTCTAAGGAAGCTTCCCCATCTTAAATGTCTTTTTTCTTTCTGTGAACAGATCAATGTTTCACCTGTAAATAGAGGACAGAAATTTAGCCCAAAGGCACTGATAGAATAATTCTTTGTCTGGATTTCCCTAGAGAAACCATGCAGTATTGTTTAAGAAAGTACTTAGGGATGAAATGGTTAGGCTAAGGGAAAGTTATAGAAAGTTCAACATCTTGAATTGAACTGGTTTGCTGGAGCAGCTTACTAACTTGTTACCAATTAACATAAAAGAGAAACAGCCTGAGCTCACTTGACACACTGGTGACTAATTACACTTTTTTTTTTTGGTAGGTGGGTAAAAGTGGCAATGTACCAGCAGGCACCACCGTGGATAGCACCATCACACATCCATCTGAGTTTGACTTTTACCTCTGTAGTCATGCAGGAATTCAGGTAATTTGGAAGCTGGTCCAGATCTTTGACTTGATAAGGAGATGCTTGCAAATTCAGCAACTAACTTGAATGGACTTGTTATTATACACTGGGATGTGCATAGCTTAGTTAATGCTTGTGTCCTAGAACTGTTATCTTTTGGTCTAGGTATCTGTTGGTAAGTGTGCCAGGCAAGGATACTTCTGAGTGTAAGGAGTAGATTTCAGTCCTTCTCTCTGGTAGTCAGCCCATGTCAGAAATATATTAATCATAAAACTCTCTCTCCAGGGAACCAGTCGTCCTTCACATTACCAGGTCTTGTGGGATGACAACTGCTTCACCGCAGATGAGCTCCAGCTACTGACTTACCAGCTATGTCACACCTATGTGCGGTGTACACGCTCAGTCTCTATTCCAGCCCCTGCATATTATGCCCGGCTTGTAGCATTCAGAGCAAGGTATCACCTGGTGGATAAAGATCATGACAGGCAAGTTTCTCAGGCACAGGAAAATCCCTGTGTGAAGCAGGATGTTAAAAAAAAAATGAGCTGCTATAGTAAACTTTTTAAGAGTTACTCTTCCTTTTACAGTTTCAGTTACAAGCAGTGACTAAAATTGCATGTGCCTTTGAGAGTTTATAAGGTGACTTTTGGTCCAAGAAGTGCTTGGGCCTGTTTATACTTACTTGTATGGTGTGTCTAAAGCCTGCCCAAGGAAAGCAGTCTGATTTGCAGTTGCCTGTGGTTTTCCCATAGAGCCAAGTGCATTTTAGTTTAGCTCTGGTCATGAGGAGCCTCAGAAGGTGGCCAGCACAGTACCTTGACTCCAATCAACAGAGTCACTCACAGGTCTGTGGATTCCAGTGCATACAAGTGAAAGTCTTGAACTGTTCACTTGGCTTTCAGCACAGTCTGGAAGAATGCACTAGAGTAAACCTGGGTGTGTGTGTGGGAGAGGAGGTGTGCCCTACCATTCTCACCTCCAAATAGGGATCTCAAGAGAGTCAGACTGAGCTACTATTAAATAACTAAACAAGCTCTCTGCAGTCATTTTCTTTTCCAAATGACCATCTGTGAAGTACAGCAGTTTCTGGGCTCTTCCCCAAGTCTCAATTCAGCTGCTAAATACTGTTAAATAGTAGACATTCCACTGCAAATCTATTTCTGTAAGGGTTGGAAACACACTATTATGGAAAATGCCCAGCTGTGACTTTGTACCCTCCTTTCTGTAATATATATTCATTCATTCAACACATTTGTTAGATACTGACTTTGTGCCCAGCACGGCCCTAAGTACTAAAATTACTAAGATGAAGAAGACATGTTTCCTGGGATGTTTCAGTACGGGAGATGGCACGGGAAGAATAGAACTGACAATTAACTCAAAGCAGGATAGGTGAGCGTGCAAAGGGACATCAGGGGAAAGGCTGTTGGAGATTTCATAGCTGGCCCAGAAGGATTTGGCTCTGCAAGGAAGAGAAAGGGATTTTCCAGGCAGAGGGAACAATGGACACAAAGAAGAGAAAGCAAGTGACATGTTTGGACAATAGCAAGTTTTCTTTGGCTGGAACATATGAAAGGGGACAAGCAGGCATAAAGTTAGAAAAGTATGTTAGAGCAAGATTGTCTTTGTTAAATGTAAAAAGCTATTCCTGGGATAAAATAGATAGTACTTAAGAGTTAATTGGGTGTGAGTGGGTGAGAGAAGTCAGAAGAGGGATGATGACTTAAAATTTACCAAGCCCAGATTTCTGGCCAAGATGGAGGCGTAAGCAGACACACTGTGCCTCTTCGCACAACCAAAGAAGGACACCAACAATTTAAAAACAAAAAACAACCAGAACTGACAGAAAATCAAGCTGTATGGAAGTCCGACAACCAAGGAGTTAAAGAAGCAGCATCCATCCAGACTGACAGGACGGGCGGAGACCGCCGCCGGGTGGAGAGGACTCGCCGCAAGGTGGAGGACCCAGGGAAGAGGTGGATTGTGGAGCGGGGCGGTCAAGGCGGCAGCTGGCGGACCAGCAAGGCTGCGGCCGGTGGAGCAGGTGGTCCCACATTCATGTGCAGATAAACTGGGAGGAACACCTGGGGAGCGAGACACACCTCGCAACCCGGGGCCCCAGCGCGGGGAAATAAAGCCTCAAAACACCCATTAAAAACACCTGTGGGTGTTGAAGTGTCAGTGGGAGAAACTCCCAGCCTCACAGGAGAGTTCGTTGGAGAGACCCAGAGGGTCCTAGAACATACACAAGCCCACTCACACAGGAATCAGCACCAGAAGGGCCCAGTGTGCTTAGGAAGTGGCGGAAGTGACTAAAAACCGGCAGAGAGCGGAGCAAGCGCCATTGTTCCTTCTCCACCCCTTCCCCACTTATAGCATCACAACCGGGCGACGTGCATTACCCCGCCCTGGTGAACGCCTAAGGCTCCGCCCCTTATATGTAGCAGGTGCGCCAAGAAAAAAAAAATGGCCCAGATGAAAGAGCACATTAAAACTTCCGGCCAAGATGGAGGCATAGGTAGACATACTGTGCCTCCTCGCACAACCAAGATAGGGACAACGACAATTTAGAAGCAGAATAACAACCAGAACTGACAGAAAATTGTATGGAAGTCGGACAACCAAGGAGTTAAAATAGACCAGTTCATCCAGACCAGTAGGAGGGGCGGAGTTGGGCAGCCAGGCGCAGGTCCCAGCATGGAGAGCATTGGGACCAGAGCTGTAAGGCTTCTGGGGGGTGCAAGACCGCAGGGGGCGAACGCTGAGTGCACAAGTGGCAGCTGGCAGACCCCAGCCAAGGGGTGGCAAACGGCAGACCCAGCAAGGCAGCAATTGTGAAGCAAGACACTGAGTGCAACCCAGGATCCCAGCGCTGGGAAATAGAGCCTTGCAACACTGATTGAAAACCCTGTGGGGGGCTGAGGCTCAGGGAGAGACTCCCAGCCTCACAGGAGAGGTCCTTGGAAAGTCCCACAGGGTGCACAAGCCCACCCATGTGGGAATTGGCACCAGAGGGGCCCAGTTTGCTCAGGGGAAGTGGCAGAAGGGACCAAGGTCCGATGGAGAGCTGAGCAAGCGCCATTGTTCCCTCTCAGACCTGGACCTGGCCCCCGCACACAGCGTCACAACCCAGCGACTGAGGTGCCCTACCCTGGTGAACACCGTAGGTTCCGCCCCTCATACAGGAACAGACCAAAGGGGGGAAAAAAAAAGATGGCTCAAACGGAATTGAAAGCCCCAGAGTCAGTACTTTTAAGTGACTGAGATAGCCAGCCTATCAGATGCACAGTTCAAAGCACTGGTGATCAGGATGCTCACAGAATTGGTTGAATTTGGTCGCAAATTAGATGAAAAAATGAAGGCTACACTAAGTGAAATAAAGGAAAATGTACAGGGAATCAATAGTGATGGGAAGGAAACCAGGCCTCTAATCAATGGGGTGGATCAGAAAGAAGAAAGAAATATTCAACCAGAAAAGAATGAAGAAATAAGAATTCAAAAAAATGAGGAGAGTCTTGGGGACCTCCAGGACATCTTTAAATGTTCCAACATCTGAATTATAGGGGCGCCAGAAGGAGAAGAGGAAGAGCAAGAAATTGAAAATTTATTTGAACAAATAATGAAGGAGAACTTCCCCAATCTGGCAAGGGAAATAGACTTCCAGGAAGTCCAGGAAGCTCAGAGAGTCCCAAAGAAGTTGGACCCAAGAAGAAGCACACCAAAGCACATCGTAATTACATTAGTGAAGGTAAAAGTGAAGGAGAGAATCCTAGAAGCAGCAAGAGATAAGGGGACAGTAACCTATGAAGGAGTTCCCATCAGACTGTCAGCTGATTTCTCAAAAGAGACCTTGCAGGCAAGAAGGGGCTGGAAAGAAGTATTCCAAGTCATGAAAGGCAAGGACCTATATCCCAGATTGCTCTATCCAGCAAAGCTTTCATTTAGAATGGAAGGGCAGACAAAGTGCTTCTCAGATAAGGTCAAGTTAAAGGACTTCATTATCACCAAGCCCTTATTTTATGAAATGTTAAAGGCACTTATCTAAGAAAAAGAAGATAAAAACATGTGCAGTAAAATGACAGCAAACTCACAGTTATTAACAACCACACCTAAAACAAAACCAAAAGCAAACTAAGCAAACAACTAGAACAGGAACAGACCCACAGAAATGGAGATCACATGGAGGGTTATCAGTGGGGAAGGAGAGGGGGAAAACGTACAGAGAATAAGTAGCATAGATGGTAGGTAGAAAATAGATAGGGGGTGGTTAAGAATAGTATGGGAAATTTAGAAGCCAAAGAATGTATATGTGTGACCCATGGACATGAACTAAAAGGGGGAAATGTGGGTGGGAGGGAGTGTGCAGGGTGGAGGGGAATAAAGGGAGGAAATGGGACAACTGTAATAGCATAATCAATAAAATATAAATTTTATAAAAACTTTACCAAACCCTTTATAGCACTTGGTACCCTTAAGAAGTTTGTTCAGAAGCCATTATTATTACCCTAAAAGACCGAAGTTCACAGGAGTGGTTACTTGTCCAAGGTCACATAGCTAGTCAGGGGAAGACAAGAAGGAACTGGTGGCAGAATAGCATTTGCTGAGTATCTGCTATGTTGCAGCCCCATGCTAGGCACAAAAATCCATTCATTCATTCCACAAATATTTATTGAGACTGCACTATGTGCCAGACAGTAGAGATGGTGAGTAAGACAAAGTTCCTGCTTTCTTGGAGTTTATGTCCCAGAGAAGAAATAAATAATTACCCAATTAATAATTTAATTTTAATTGCATTTCTTTCAAGTGGAGAAAAGTAGAGTGTTCTGTGGAAGTATGTTCCAGGTGGCTCTGGCCTGAACTTTGCAGTCAGGGAAGATTTCATTGGGGGAAATGACATTTGTCTAAAGCCTAAAGGCCAGTAGGCGTTAACCAGACATAATGGCCAGTAGAAGTCCTTATGGAGGCACTGTTAAGGATTTGGGTCTTTGCAGATATTATTTGAGTATTACAACAAATAAGTGGTATTGCATTTTTCAGTTCAACAAACGGATGTGTATAGAGACATTACGAATATTTAAGAAACCACAGCTGGAGCCTAAGGTCTTGAATCCAGTACTATTCATGCTATTTGAAACATCTGAAGTTTGACATGGTCTTTTGTTACATCTGGTTTTTTTTATTTTTTTTATTTTGCTTTATTCTCTTTACAGTGCAGAAGGCAGTCATGTGTCAGGACAGAGCAATGGCCGAGATCCTCAGGCCTTGGCTAAAGCGGTGCAGATCCACCATGATACCCAGCACACAATGTATTTTGCCTGAGAGTCTCAGAAGAACTCCACCAATGTGGCACCCCATGCAACCTCAAAATGTTTCAAATGCCTACCGCCTCTAGAGAGAGCCAAGTTGACTTCAGTTTATCTTCTACCAGCAGCTCGGAATAGTTGCACTGAATTAATACTTTGCAGCGCTGTCTGATGCATCAACAAAATTGAGCCATTTTTTAAAAGTAGTAGATATTCATAGATTGTCTTTTCTGATGCACTGGACTGAATTTTTACCTCAACATGCAAAGGCTAAACAGCCTGAACTTTCTAAAGGACTTTACAAGAAAGGTTTCTATGGAATATTTTGCTAGCTGTGGTGTTCACTGCATCCCTCTAGTCTTATAAGAGAAGATTGTTCCTTTTTTCTGTATTCATCGAGTGGGATGTATGTATCAGTGGAAGAGAAAAACCAAACAATCTACTTCAGTTTAGTGTAACTATTTAATTATGTGGGTCCATAGACTTTTTAATGGAGATTTCTGACTTTGCCACTGTATATGCCTTTAACGAGCATTAATTTTTTGAAAGTTTTACAGAGTTTTATTAGTTTTACTACTTTATCTTATGATCCCTACAGTCTTGTGCTGATGCAAGTACAGGCTGCCAGGCAATTGCACTATATTTGGCTCCAGATTCAAACAGGCAGTTCTCTTATTTGGCCGACTCTTATGAATGTGTAACACAAACAGATGTAATGCATGTCGCAGTGACAGATAACCCTGCCGTGGTAAAAAGTTCTCATGTTTTCCCCCTCTTTGAAAACAATTAGCTCTTAGTATTTTTCAGAGTTTTCAAAAGTGCCCATTTTATGCTGCTGTGTGGTTTATCAGATCTAAGGGATTTTTAAACTTTTCTCATAGAAAGTTAACTTTGGCAATAAACATTTTTTAAGGTCCCTTCACTCCGTTTCCCCCGCCCCCGACAATGAGTTTTCTAGATGAAATTTTGGTATGATTTTATCAGCTATTTCTTATAAATCATAATCTGGCAATTCCTGAAATCAGTCAGAAAAGACATATATTTCCATGCCTTTTTAAAGAATTGTTTTTTATCTGTTTTATAGTCACTGTTGGTGTCCTGTCACTTTGTTTTAAAATAAGCTAGAACCAGGATGCTTCCTTACTGGATAGGCGTTGCCAGTCCTTAAGGTACATTGAGTGATGCTGCAACTTGCAAAAATGTACCAGCATTTAAAACCTTTTCCTGGGAATCAAGGTTACACAACTACTTACTCGCAGTGCAGATGCTGTGCTTCTCTTTCAACCTGAAATGTACTTGGTGAGGTTTTCTTCCTTTTAGTAAAGTAGAACTTCATAGAAAGGTTGATTTTTTTCTTTTCTGAATAGATTCTGGATTCTGTTCACAGGGAGCCAGGATTCATTTCTTGTCCGTCTGGAGGTGATATAAAGCAAACATTAGTTACAATGTAGGGAAAAACTATTTTGTATTTAGTATAGATAATACTTTGTGAATGGACAACAGTTACATAGAGTCTTGCTGGTTCCAGCCAGTGTTGCCCAGCCCAGATTTCACTGACTTGTAGTTCTCGCTCCTGGAACCTCAGGAGTAAGAGCTGGAAAAGGTGGGTAAGAGACCCAGAGCCACACTCCACATGGATGAGGAAGGTCCTGGAGAAGACATAGACACAATGTGGTGAACCGAATTTGCCGCCTCTGTCTGGAATCACGGGATCTGATGGTGAAGGGTGTTTGCTTGAAGTCATTAGCCGGTCCAAATCTTTTAAACTAGCCTTCTCAAAATCCCAGCAATATCAAGCCCTGTTTTTCTTCAGTCTTTTAAACAAGCTTGTAAATACATTGAAGTTTACATTTCTATATGCTGTGGATCAGCGGCGCCACCAGTGTTCGCTGGGACTGGTCTCTGAGAGTTTTGGTATGATGCATATCAAGTTCTGTAGCTCATTAAGATGGGTGCAGACATCCTTATTCTCTGCATACAGTGAGATGAAAGAAAGCAAGCTCTGTAATTGAGGCACAACATAGTGAAGAGATGGCAGATGTTAATTTCTTAAGATTTTCCTTTTTTTCAAATACCTCACTTGGATACTACAAATCAGGACATGCTGGTGAGGGGCTGGCTACTGCTTTTATTCACACCTGTTCAGGGAGAGCACAGAAAATACCCTTCAGCATGGCCACCCTGGACCCATGAGGAGGAAAAACAAGCTTTTTTAGGAGGAGGACTCACTGGAGTCCAGGATGTGAAGAACTCTTGGTGGCTGGCTGGCTGGCTGGCTGGCCGGCTGGCTGGCCAGCGGGCACCACACCTGCACTTGAGTGCCTCGGGCTTGCTTGTTCATAACGCACAGAAGAAGCTTCACTTCTCACCATCTCCTGGCATGAATGGAGCAGGGAGCAAGGCAGAGTGCCTGGAAGCCCTGATTCACTTGCCTGCAGTTGGGCTGTATGCTCAACCTTGAACTCTACAGTTTGTATGACCTCAGTCATTCCTAGTACACTGGGGCAAATGACTGTGGTGGTGGAGGAAAAGCCGGGAGGCCTATTTTTATAGGAAAACAGTACCTTTAAGGGTGCAACACTGTTGTTTTGGAGGAAAGGAAAGAAATATGGAAGAACTAGGATTATTGGGGGGGAAAAACTTGCTGAGGGGTGAATCTTTAAAAAGTAATCACTGCAGAATCAGAGTTGCAGCAGTATTATTGCAAGCAAGTCTGAATTCATAATTTTAATTGGGCCTGACAATTTGAATTTGTAACCCTCTGGACTGACTGAATTGTTATGCATGTGTCAATCAATGGGAGGTGTGCATTCACTAGAAGTAGGTTTAGGATGCTTGGTTTTTTAAAATGCAGCCTGTTTAGGCACTTGTCATGTAGTGTGAAAGATTTAAATGTAGCAATGCTAAAGAGTAACTATGTAGGGACAAGGTGCGGGGACATTAAGAGAGCGGTGAAGATCCAAATGTTGAACCAGTTATGTTTTCCTGTTAGCTGTTGAACCCTGAGCAATTTATAAACAGAACCAGCTGGCTTAACACGGCTAGTTGAGGCAGGCAGAACATATTCATTCTTACTGTAAATTCTATTTGCTGCTTCCAAAGGTGATGATTTACAAGCAGACATATTCTGTACGGTCTGTATTTTAGAACCTGGTGCCCAGCCTATATCAGAGCTTAGCTACCTGGCTCAACTACCTACCCTTCTGGTGGGAATCGGTAACCTGTTGTTGAACGAGGCTCACCCTCTCCACCCTGCCCTAGCGACCCTTTGTTGGATGTGCTGTAAGATTTTCTTGCTCAATAGCAAGGAGGTAACTCTGCTTTCATTTTAAGAAAGTGGAGGCTGAGGGCATTGTATCAATACGGCTTCAACTCCAAGGATTTTTCCTTGTAAAATTAAAGGGAAGATCTTGTTATTGATTAATCATTTTCTTATCCCTTGCTATTGACATATTCATGCTCTTTCTATGTCTAGTGACTGAAAATGTTTGCATTTGTTCATTTGACTAATGGTGTAATTTTTGTTTCTATATTGTTAGACCTGTAATGTTTTAAAATGTATTTTATTGAATTTGGACTGGATGTATATCTCTAGCAATACGAGGTACTTTCTAAACTAAGGGAGGGTGGTATCCCCATGTTGAGATAAGATGATGGTTGTTTAAATTTCGTGATTTTTTTTTTGGCCTGCAGGGATATTTTGTGTTCATGTGTCCAAAAAAGAATAAATTGGCATTCACGTGCCAAAAGTTGTTTTTCTTGTCAATTGTCTAATAAATATGGAGTATACTGTTATGTCAATACACATGGTTGCTTTTTAAAAACAATGTCCTCAATTTAAGAAATTGAGAAAGAATAACATGGGGAAACTTTGTGTTTTTAACTCCTGGGTCTCCTTGTTTTTAGAAATTGTATTTGGGAATTTTAGGAGAGCTTCCCACAACATTTCATCTATGAAAACTTTTACAAGATTCATCAGGGTTCTGGGGTACAGCTCTTACTGTGAAGATCTATTAAAGTGTTGTTTCGAGAAAAATCTGCTGTCTTCAGAGAGCAATATGGCCACACACTTTATGTGGCTGACTTTAGACAAGGAGCTGCCCAAATTCACTCACCCTGGGGCTATCCAATCTCATGTCTTAAAAGAAATAATTATCACTAGCAAAGCCCTTTTGTTAAGTTATGCCAGGGATAACACAGAGATTTGCATACTATGGCCTTTATCATCTGGGAATTTATAGTTAACCAAAGGGACAAATCCTGTGTACACTAGCTTAACTACAAGTAATTGTTTTTTCTGTCAGCGCAGAATCCCCCTTTCCATATTTATCCATTATCAAACATTTATCATGAACCCATGCCAAGTTCAGCCTAGGTGCTAGGAACACAGACGAATAAAAACAACTCTTCAAAGAATTCATTCTACTGTGGCATGGGTTGGGGAGGAATCAGTGACACCAACATTTTCTGAGCACCTAGTATGCACCAGTCACTTTATATTGACATCTTTCACCCTCAGCGACAGTCTTTTGAGGTTGATAGTGATATACCCATTGTAAAGATGAGTCCGCTTCAAAGGGGTTAAGTAACACAGTTACAGAGTGGCAAAGCTAGAACGTGAATCCAGACCTGTCTAAATTCATTACACCTGGTACTGAGCATGAAATCACAGAAACTTAAAAAGGGAAACAACTTTTACCATGGAGGGTCAGAAAGACTTTGGGGTGATGGTGAATTTTAGGATAGACCATGAAGCATGAGGGGCAGCTTACGGAAGGACAAGGGGATAGTAGACGCATTGTTCCCTGGCCACAGATTATGGTAGCTATAATCTTTGTCTACCCAAATACTTTCCCTTATTCCTTCTTTGGGTGATAGGATTCCTTTCTGATGGGAACTCCACTGTTTTGTGTGTTGCAGGCAAGTCCCTATGGCCTTCCCCTTACTTCATTTCCCCACCATTTGTGTCACGTTCATGTTATCCTTGAATCGGTTGCTGGGTGTTACACCAGCCAAAATGGCTCAGGTGCCCACTCCTGGTGTGTGTGAGGGGGTTACCAGCAAGTAGGGATGGCAGACTGATCAGCACCATTATATGACACGTGACTCCTCTTTTTTTCTCCATCTCTTGGCTCTGATTTCCTCGATGTTGACTTCACTCTCCGGAAGCTAGTGGCACATCTTTAAGGAGAAGAGGGACAGAGTCAGACAGAAAAACTAGCAACTGTATTACAAATTGTCTGTACAAGTTTAACAAACACTTCTGGAGCCCTATTTTGTGTTAGGAAATGTTAAGATGAAACACACAAGTTTTGAGCATTGAAAATTTACTTGTAAACTCGGGGCCACACATATGACAAGGTAGCTTTTGAGCATGTACATTCACATGTATACATGAGAATGTATACACTGTCCCTGACTGGTGTGGTTCAGTGGGTTGGGCATCGTCCCACAAACCGAAAGGTGGCAGGTTCAATTGATGGTTGTGGTGCGAACCCAAAGCAACCTACTGGTGTTTCTCTCTCACGTCGATGTTTCTCTCCTTCTCTTTCTCCCTCCTTCCCCCCTTTCTAAAAAGTAATTAGTTCATTACTTTTTCAAAAGAATGTATGCATGGTGACATGGACCACTTAGGTTCCTAACCTAGCTTAGGGCATCAACGAAAGCCACTTAGAGGAAGTGGTGACTCTTGAAGAGCTGTCTCATAAAGAACGAACAAGAGTTTTATAAATGAACAAGGTGAAAGAAGGTATCCCAGGTTTTCTCATCACATTCAAAGGCACAGAAGGAAAGAAAAACCCCCAAACATGACTTGTTTGGATGAATTACAAGTAATTTCAGTTATCTTAGATTTCAAGGGATGAGAGAGGCAGTAAATATGCTAAGGTTGGACTATAGAGGCAAGCACCAGTTCCTGACAGGACAGGACCTGAATGGCATTCTACAGAGTTTCAAGTTTATCCCAGGGGTACAGGGGAATCGCACCATCGGATCTGTGTTAGTTATGCTGGCACTAGTGTGTTGAGGTGGTTGAAGCTGAAGTTCTGCTGAAGGGAAGTTAAGAGTTTTATTACAATAGTCCAAGCAAAAGATGAGGAGGATTGAACTTGAGTAGTGAAAGTGCAGCTGGAGAGAGGAAACAAGCACAAGAGATATTCAGAAAGTAAAAAAAGCAGAACTTGGTGAAAATGGATATGGACAGTGGGGGGAATGAGGCAGACTCATTAGGAGGGCTCTCAGCTTTCTGACTTAGGAAGCTGCGTACATAGTAGTGCCACTGAGCCAATGAATACCGAAGAAGCAGATTCATGACTTACTGAAAGGAGGAAGGTGACAAACAATTTGACAGTGATGCATGTGAACTGCAGAGAGATTGGAAGCCATCAGTATGTAGCTAGTGATTAAAAGCATTCTAATAAATAGTCAGCTATTGTGAATAATGTTACTATGAACATGAATGTACACATATCTCTTTGAGACTCTGCTTTCAATTATTTTGGCTATAACCCCAGAAGTGGAATTGCTGAATCATATGGTAATTCTGTGTTTAATATTTTGAGGAACCACTATACTGTTTTCCATAGTGGCTGTGCCATTTTTCATTCCCATTGACAGTGCACAAGTGTTCTAATTTCTCAATATCCTCACTAGGGACAGTTGTTGATTTCTGTTTTTTGATAATAGCTACCCTAAGGGATATGAAGTGGTATCGCGTTGTGATTTTGGCTTGCATTTTCCTAATGATAAGTGATGTTGACCACCTTTTCATGTGCTCATTGGCCATTGTATAGCTTCTTTGGAGAAATATTTATTCTAGTCCTTTGCCCATTTTTGAATTATGTCCCTTTTTAAAATATTTTATTTATTTATTTTTAGAGAGAGGGGAGAGGAGGGAGAAAGAAGGGAAAGAAACATTGATGTGTGAGAGAAACACCAATCAGCTTCCTCTCATGTGCTCCCAACCAGAGACCCGTCCCACAACCCAGGCAGGTGCCCTTACCAGGAACCAAACTGCCAACTCTTTGGTCCGCAGGCCAGCACTCAATCCATGGAGCTACACCAGCAAGGTCTGAGTCCTTCAATTTTTTAAAAATATATTTTATTGACTATGCTATTACAGTTGTCCCATTTCCACCCCCTTCATTCCCCTCCACCCTGCACACCCTCTCCCACCCACATTCTTCCCCTTTAGTTCATGTCCATGTGTCATACTTATAAGTTCTTTAGCTTCTACATTTCTCATACCATTCTTACCCTCCCCCTGTCTATTTTCTACCTACCATCTATGCTACTTATTCTCTGTACGTTTTCCGCCTCTCTCCTCCTCCCACTCCTCTGTTGCTAACCCTACATGTGATCTCCATTTCTGTGGTTCTGTTCCTGTTCTAGTTGTTTGCTTAGTTTCTTTTGGTTTTGCTTTAGGTGTGGCTGTTAATAATTGTGAGTTTGCTGTCCTTTTACTATACATGTTTTTATCTTCTTTTTCTTAGATAAGTGCCTTTAACATTTCATAAAATAAGGGCTTGGTGATGATGAACTCCTTTAACTTGACCTTATCTGAGAAGCACTTTATCTGCCCTTCCATTCTAAATGAAAGCTTCACTGGATAGAGTAATGTGGGATATAGGTCCTTGTCTTTCATGACTTGGAATACTTCTTTCCAGCCCCTTCTTGCCTGCAAGGTCTCTTTTGAGAAATCAGATGACAGTCTGATGGGAACTCCTTTGTAGGTTACTGTCCCCTTATCTCTTGCTGCTTCTAGGATTCTGTCCTTCATTTTTACCTTGGCTAATGTAATTATGATGTGCCTTGGTGTGCTTCTTCTTGGGTCCAGCTTCTTTGGGACTCTCTGAGCTTCCTGGACTTCTTGGAAGTCTATTTCCTTTGCCAGATTGGGGAAGTTCTCCTTTATTATTTGTTCAAATGTGTTTTCAATCTGTTGCTCTTCCTCTTCCCCTTCTGGTACCCCTATAATTCAGATGCTGGAATGTTTCAAGATGTCCTGGAGGTTCCTAAGCTTCTCCTCGTTTTTTCTGAATTCTTATTTCTCCATTCTTTCCTGTTTGATTGTTACTTTCTTCCTTCTGGTCCACTCTATTGTTTTGAGTCCCAGTTTCCTTCCCATCACTATTGGTTCCCTGTGCATTTTCCTTCATTTCTTTTATGGTAACCTGCATTTGTTCATCTAATTTGCGCCCAAAATCAACCAATTCTGTGAGCTTCTGATCACCAATGTTTTGAAATGTGCATCTGATAGATTGGCTATCTCTTGGTCGCTTAAAATGATGAGTCCTGGGGCATTGATTTGTTCTTCTGCTTGAGACATGTCTCTCTCTCTCTCTCTCTCTCTTTTTTTGGTCTGGTCGCTGATGTTACAGTGAGGAACGGAGCCTTAGGTGTTCACCAGGACTGGGCACCCCAGTCGCTAGATTGTGACGTTGCATGTGGGGGTTGGGGGCGGGAGGGAACAATGGCGGTAGCTCCGTTCTCTGTGGGACCTCAGTCCCTTCTCTAGGATCCTGGGTTGCACGCTCTGCCCTGCCCCACAATCGCCGCCTCACTGGGTCAGCCAGCTGCCGCTTGCGTACTCAGGGTCCACCCGCTGCGATCTTGTGCACCCCAGATGCCTTATGTGCCCCCGGATGCCTTATGCACCCAACTCTCTCTGCTCTCCTTGCCGCAGCCCATGCCTGGCTGCTCATCTCCGCCCCTCCTACCAGTCTGGATGAACGGGTCTACTTCAACTTCTTGGCT